TATTAAAGTTTTCATAAGAATTCGATTAGAAAAAACTTTTTTAATAATATGTTGGTGATTAAAAAAATAATGAATTTTTTAACATTTTAAAATTAACAGTCACCTGAATTCAGTATGAATTAAATGTAGTAATGTAAATACTATTTTTTTTTAAATTTTAGTTAAATTAAAACAAATAAATTAAACTGTATAAGGTTAGGTTAARTATAGAGGCATGTTATGGTAAGTATSTCTAAAAATAATAGCAAAACCACGTCGAAATATACAATTTGAMGCCCTGCATTAAAGTTGATAAAACMACTAGTAAACCGTTAGAAAATCGATTAATATCTTTTTACTAAGCTTAATATTATAATCACATAGTCTGGTTTGCATTCGGTATTATTTTTAATGCATTTTAATAGTAAATAATAATTATAAGTATTAATTGGTGAATTTTTATCATTTCATAAAAGTCTAGGTAGTACACACTATAATATTACATAATATAAAATAAACAGAATATGAACAATACTGGCAAAATATAACACGCTAGTATATTACATGTATAATCTGATCTCTGACGCAAGTCTCTGAAATCCATTTTTAATACCTCAGTTTCATTAGATACTTTACTTGATATTCAGAGTAAAAGAGGGTGAATCTGTAAAATAAGTCGATTTTAGTTTTAAAATTATAAYTTGTTTTTGTCTGAAAAATATTATYTTCAAMTAAATAATTATTGGTTTATGTTTTGAAATATAATTCAATATTCTTATCCATGAATTGGTTGTATAAAATAAAATAATATTTTTCTAGGCTAACATTGATAATTATACAAATAGTAGAGTATAATGAAACAAGTATTGTAAAATTTTTATTTAAAATGAGCAAATTGATTTATCATACTTTTATTGTAATATGTTGAACAATATAATGAATGAATTAAAGTTGAGNGACAAACTTAAATTCCTATATTTACCGTATATGTTTGTAAATTGTGTACCAATAAGTTACGGTGTCCTTGACTCATAAAATGTGTCACCTCAATATGTTGGTACACTGCATTTGGTTTATTATGTCTCAAAACCACGAATTATGATATATATCTTAATTCAAGCTCAAAACTCACTCAAAATATTAATTTAAACCATCTACATACATTTGATACTTATATCATAAATGTAATACTATTATTGTATCAATCTCGATCATCGAGCCCAGTCAAATATTATTATAATAGTCATTCCTCAAGTAAAAAATAATTATTTAGATATAAAGGGGAAGTGTTTATCATTATACCTATTTGTCGAGACTTAGATAAATAACTTTACGGATGTATTCATAACAATAAATATAAAAATAAATTCACTCATAAATACCATTCGTTTACGCTAATAACAAACCGGGTGAGACTATTTTTGTTGAAAAATGAAATACTTTTTTACTCCATTGTTCATCTAAAAAAAGACTTTTCATCTTTCTTCGCACATTGTTTGGATTAAAATCGTAACTATATCCCTTGAAATATTAAAAACATGTATTAAACTTTATAATATATGTGTATACCACCGACCATTATTGTATCCAATATTTTTCTGCAGATTAAGAGCAGCAAAATTCTTATTTGTGTTCTGAACTGTATGCCTGTATAGAGTATGGCACTAAAAATCGATAATATAGTAACTCTGATTTAATTATGATTGAATATAATAATATAACTTAGGTTTTTTTTTATTGATCTTTACACAAATAAATTTCCACTTCGACAACACTGGCCATTAGCGTTACATTTTTAGTAAAATAAAATTATATAATAATAAATATGATATATAATTTAAATAATATTACAATATTTTAGTTGTGACTTATAGTAGGTTTATTATTTTTATTGTTTTGAAATATTCTATTGTGTTAGATTTATTTTCAGGGTTTGGACATAGACTTATTCCGATATCGTGTTTAGTTCTTCTCTTTGTATATTTTGATATAGTCTGCATTCTACAAAAATGTGTTTAATTGTGAGTGTGGTGCCACATATTTGGCATATTGGTGTTTCGTTTTTTGCCATCAAATATCCGTGAGTCACAACTTAGGTTTATAGGTGTATAACATTAACCATTTCCATTATAAACTCAAAATAATAATAGGAAAAAAAATTGAAATGCATAACTTAATATAATACTTTGTTCATTGTAAACATTTCTCTATGTATACAAAAATGTTGACCTAAAGTCCTAAACTATAATTGTAAACTATTAACCATGTAGTCGATGTTATAATAAAAAAAAAAAAAAATTGATTACATTAGTAATACAAACCAAATAATAATGTCAAAATTCTGACTATAATTTCACTTATATGACCACATTATTTATATTTTAGTGTTAAAAGAATATACATATGAGATTGATACATAATGTCCAAATACAAAAATACTACGTTGGTGTATGATCCAATAATCTAAATTGGCTATGAATAATATGACAGAAATTATTAARTAATTGTTTAAATAATATAAGTTTAATAACCCTATGTCCCTGTGCTATAAATTATAATATTTCTAGTGTTTTATCATTAACATTTTAATACTCGATAAAAAAAAATAAAGTTGATAATAATCAGTATTTGATACTTGAATTATAGTTATAAATTATATTTAATTTCAGTTGATATTTTCATGTCATATTATGTTGTTTATAAAAATAAATAGACTATATTATTATTTTGTAAAGCTGGATAATAGATAGTGAAGAGAAATAGTGTGAGGATGAATACGGTATCTTGTTTTTTGAGCGAAATGGGCAATAAATCACAYCACAAACAGTCGTCGTAGAATTTAAGAATATTACCATGATATCTAGTACCATCATAAAATTGGACTGTAATAGAAAACCCCCAGRATCCCCATCGTTTAAAGACCACAGTGGCCGACGTTTGATATTTCCTTATTACACTTTGGTACCCATTTTTAGCTTGTAATGATCATCAAAACATTTTAATTCGTCATTAACACCATAAGCGATAGCATATGTTTAATAATAATTTATTTCTTGTACCCATTATGTTGCTAACCATATTTCGTTCCCGAACATATTATTTTTATTCTACTACACATTGTGTTAATGGCGTATTAACGTAATTTATACGACTCATTTTTTATTTAGATTCACGTAAACAATATTTTATTTTAGATGCTATAAATTGTGTCAGTAAAGAGCATATTATTTTTACATTTATAATTTTTTTATTTTTTTTAAATCTGTGGTTTTAGTGTTTTATACAGGATTGTAGAATGGATCATTTAATTTGCGATCATCATGCTTCCTGGTAGTACATTTWATTTAGATTGCACTAAAGGAAGATAGTTTTTTTACTTACTCACGTTTTCATTTAGTTGGTATGCAAAACTATAAAACAACCACTAATAATGTACGACACAACTAATTTTAAGAAAATATTTAAACATTTTATATAATTAACAAAGTATTAATGCTATTGTTTATCGATATGTGCTTATTATGATGTATACAATATAAA